AACAATGATAATTAAAGGTATGACATATTACGAATTTTACACTTTTGCATAGAAGCGGGTAATGATCCGTTTCAAAATGGTTAATAAAATGATCTTAGATTATAACAATTTGGTGAAACACATTTCTTGGCTCTTTTTTAAAATATAATAAACCGCTTAGATTATTTTCTACTTTCATCAACACTGTTTGCTTCGTTAAAACTAATTGCATTAAGCACTAGTGCAGATTGTAATTGTATAAGACTTAAAAGCATTTTCTTGTTTCCCACTGTATGAAAGAAAATCAATTAGCCCGTAGAGCGTCGTTGAGATAAAGGCTATCTAAATAGTAAACACCACTGATGCGCTTCCTATGTTGACTTGCTAAATTTACAAGTGATTAAATTTCATTAGATAGATTTATTTTACTCGAGAACCTTTTTACAAGAAAGTTCAAACTAGCCAAACTAGCGTGCTATCCATAACTTATGATCACAGCTCATTTCTTTTTATTTGTTTGGTTTTATAAATAAACAATAATCAATAGAAATAATAATGCAGTTCATAACGATTGTCATGGTCAATTATGGGCTAGTAACCCGTCAATTTTAATCATTATGCTATGACGAAAACTTACGAAAGTTTCAAAGCCCGTGGCTATTGAGTGTACCTTATTTGACATATAACGCAAGATTTTTTGATAAAATATGGTTTTCACACAAAACTTTATAAACATTTATAGCGATAATACTACTACAGTTTGTCTTATTGATATACGTGTAAACTTTTTTTTACTTTCGAAACCTAAACTCTCATCTTTCACAACCAAGCCAAATCACCAAACCAGCTTGTTCGTTGTAAGAACATTTTCTGTAACTCTATTTCATTAATTCACTGACTGATATTCTAAACCACGGCCTCAAATCAGAAGTGTATATCGCTTGCCATAAAAAATGAAAATTTTTACGCAAACGCAAAAGTATTTAAAAAAACAATTTTTATATTACTCATAAATTCAATGAAAGAAAATTAATTAGTTTTGAGTTCGCTTCAGAAGTAGTTGAATGGTTTCTTTCTTAATATCACTCTTCGAAGTAATTGCTTCCCTTTTATCTTTAAGAGTGTTGGTAATTGCTTCAAGAAGGTGAATAAAGCAATATATTAAAACATGCAGTTTTAGTTATGAAATAAATGTCAATATTCCCACATTTTAAGATGGACTTGTACATTTTTTATATGTATTATTCCATAACATTTCCAGAAATTTTATGGAATAATAAATTCTTTCATTCTCTCATTTCAACACTATGAATTTCAACAAATAAAATAGGTAAAGAAAATCCATATTTCCAGAGCATTGAGCTGTATGACAAAACACAAAATGTCTTTTACTAAGGCACAGACACATACAGGTTCGTATGCATCTTTTTTTACTACTTTAACATCGTACTTTGCGTGTGTTTCATTAAAAAGTTTATAAAAAGAGTTTTGAGGCCTTTGTGTAAGCATTGAGGCACACATATTGGTCCTCATCCGGAAAAATTGTTACGCTCTCGGCGTTGTCATCGCTGTTAGTTATTAATGTGTCATCGCCATGGATATAATACTTTATCAATATATTTTAGTATTGTTAGCTAAGCCTTTTGCATACAGCTACGAAAATAAATTAATTTAATTTGATTTGATCCATCACAATTTAAATGGAGTTTGTTGTACTACTGCCATCTATATTGAACATGAAAATTAATAACCGATTAGCAATTGTCAAAAAAATAATTAAAACAGCGAACACAACATTCAAACCTGCGTCCCAAACAGTATTTGAGACGCAGGCGCAGGTTTGAATTCCGTAGCACCGAAAGTTTTTGTTCATTTATCTAAAAAAATGTTAAATTACATTTTAAACTATATATAAGTGTTACAGTACGTATTAAACGTATGAAAGAATAGAAAATTCATAGAAAAGAAAACGTGATGTATTTCAAATATGTATATTTTTATAAATCCCACAATTTATCGTAATAAAAACATTATAATATTCAGTTTCAAGTACTGTGTTAAACTTCGAATGGAAAAAGTGAAAATTTTTGTTATCGCTGTTAACAGCGGCTGGAATGAGTTCAATTTACGTTTTCAATTACATTGCTACAGTGTTTCGATAAGATCCAATATGTTTAGTGATACCTATTTCAGTTTATTTATTGCGTTTTTAAGTGTGAAATTTAACATATTAAAATTATATTATTTCTTGTCATATGTAAAAGTTGGTAAACGAGCAGGTGGTTCACCTGATGGTAAGTGATTACTGCTACCCATAGTCATGGGTAAAACGGGTCCCTATTACTAAAATTCCGCTGTCTGTCTGTAGGTCGCCGGGCTGTATCTCATGAGCCATGACAGTTAGACAGTTGAAGTTTTCGGAATTCATCCTTCTTAATATAAAAGCCCGACTCGCACCTGGCCGGTTATTTTTCTCCCATCATGTAGGTACTACTGCTATGGCAGCAAGAGCAACGCCAATTTATTTCTTTATATTTTGACAGTTTGTGTAGTCACTGTTTTAGGTTTTATTATTGATTGTTTTGGACGTCAACTGCCGACTGAAATTGGCAATCTACTTATTCCAGTGTAAAAATAATCCCTTACTCCAATTTCTCTGCCCAATATACAAGTTATATGAGTACGGAGTGCCAGATCATCTCGTATGCATAATAAGAGAATTCCTAAGTGATTGGACTTTTCGCTTTTTCCTCTCTGTATACTCTTCAATGCGTCCCATTCGTGTCGGGGTGCCTCAAGGGTCGGCGTTGGGCCCAGTCCTGTTTACGCTCTACACAAACAACATGCCACGTGTCAAAGGTGTAGAAATAGTGTAGTCTAGAGACAGGTGTCATCGGCAAAGAGGGCACTCTTTGCCGATGACACCTGTCTCTATACGTCAGGCAGAACGCCAGAAATAATCCATCGACGCCTCAAATCTGCGGTCATCACCATCCTTAACTGGTTCCGTAAATGGAGGATCGAGATCAATCCCGCCAAAAGAACTGCCGTCTATTTCTCACACAAAAATAATGTGTCCAATCCCCCGCAAAACTCATGGACAGTCCGATACCATGGGTCAATTAAGTAAAATACTTAGTTGTCTTCTTGACGCGACATGCGAAAGCGCCCTAAGAGCATGGTGGCCTCCCAAACCGGTGAGAATGATAAGAGCATGACGCCTCGAGACTAGGCTCCCGTAACCCGTACCCGTACTAACGCGTAGCCGAGGTTTAGGCTAGGCGCCCCGAGCGCCCCAAGGGCCCGGTCACCTCAAGTCCGGTGGATATGTAAAGGCCAACAGCAAAAAATATACTCAAATTTCTAGGACGTCAATTTTTAGGGCCCTAATTATTGTATAGTCTAATCGCTGCCTAACAATTAATATACCGTACCCCTTAGGTAAGTGTTATAGAATGTGGATGACCATCAGTATCGTTGCTAGCACCTATATGTTTTCCATGTTTATTCAATGTGATTTAAATTTGGCACTTGAGCAGAATGCGATTAGAAGTTGTAAACTTCAGAAAGAGTAAATCTAAGTGTATTGAGACGTGTGTATGTGACGTGAATATGTGAGAAGAGCATACATGATAAAATTTGACTACTTTGTTTTGATGTAAACCTGTGCATTGAAACAGCCTTTTGTACCAAATCAGTTCGTTTTTTACCAAACTCTCCAAATATCCAAATCAAATTATTTTAAGGGTTTTTAAAAATATTGGTTTCTATTAAAATCCTTACTAATATTATAAAGGCGAAAGTTTGTATGGTTTGGATGGATGTTTGTTACAAATACTACTGAATGGATTTTAATGAAACTTTACATTAATATAGCTTTTATATCAGAATAACACATAGGCTATAATTTATATACATATTTTTATGTATATCTTATTTTATGTCTTTGTGTCTGAATATTACGCCTTCAGCCTATTCTACGCAGACGTAGTCGCGGGCTAGCGGCTAGTTACGTCAGCAGCTAGTTACGTTACATATCCCTACTAACATTATAAATGTGAATGTAAGTTTATTAGTTACGCTTTCACGCCAAAACTACTCAACCGATTATCATGAAACTTTATACACATATTCTTAGAGGTATTAAAAAGGACATAGGATTCTTTTTATTAAAAAAATAAAAAAATAATTAAATCTGAACCTCGGAAACCGCTCCGGCGATTTTCATGAAGGACCAAACATCTTAAATGTTATAATAGCTTAGATGGGAAATTGGGCGCTACTGGAACCAGAAGACCCCATGTTTTTTTTGTTTTTTCCCCTTAAGATCCTTCTTTTGTAGAAAACAAAACGGAGCGAGGCTCGGTCATCCAGCAACTATATAATAACACGCTGGCCAATGTCGAGAAACATTTAATACATTCGGCTACACCGGTGTCTTTGATATAAAGTCAATTGATTTTATGATATACACATTGTTGTATATGTGTCAATGGGCGGCGGTTATCACATAACGTCAGTTAAACTGCCAGTTCACTTGCTACCTTCTACCAAAAAAAATGAATTAAGGCTACCATCGTTAAATAACTATGCTTAATTATTTACTTAATTATACTATTCTATTATTATTTTATAATTTAAAAACTTTTTGCACAATACCGTACAATGGCGGACTTATTACCATTAGGTGTTCTCTACCTGCCAACCGAAAAATAAATGGAGAAAATAAAGGAACTAATAATAATAACTTATAGCATTAAACTACTTCAATACCTCATGGTACATAAGCGATTATTTACACTTCATTTACATAAAATCCAGCATTACATTTTTCTAAAATGAGATAATAAAATTTGATTATATTAATATTGCGCTTAATTTCTTGAATCGATTTCAAGATCATTAAGATGACCTATTGTTTAACCAACGATAACGTCAAGATCTTTGTATGATTCAAACAAATATCGATTAATAAATCAACCATAGTTTAAAGTGAACAGGTTAGTATAGTTCCAGCAAGCATGCGATTGACCGCTACCGATATGAAGCAGTGTATTTGCCGTAAGTTTATATTTTATACATTAATGTTTTAGTATTTACTTATTGTACTATGTTGTCGTATTTATTACATCCAGTGATTCGTTTCATCCAGTGATTATTGTGCAAATAAAATTGATTTGTCTTTTATGTTTTAATGACCTTAATAGTTTTCCAGTTAATTTATTATTTTCTTTATTTCATTCCATTTTAGGTAATATGTATTAAAGACAAATATTATTGCTTTAATCACTTAAATATATTAAATGTATTTTATACAATTACCCTTCACAGGTAAAAAAACAAAATAATAGGTTACATGCATATCTTTTAAGCCAATATAAATAATAATTCATTGTTTTTAATGTTTTATTGCATTTTATTTTAATAATTTACTAAAAGTTTTACTTATACATGTATTCATAAAAGAAACGTTTTACTAAATATCATCATCACTGTTGAACATAGCCGTCCCTCACAGACTGCCATGAAGCACGGTAATGCATCTTGATGTTAAACCAAAATAAAACAAAAAGTATTAACTTCATTTTTGTTTATCAACGTTGGCATTGTGAAGTAAAGTTTGGGACTTAATTGTGAATTAAAGGTAAACTTGTATGTATACAAGTCTTACGAATAATTTTAACGTGACTCTTAACTGTCATATAAAATTGTTACAGTGTTTATAGTAACAGTCATGACGATGGGAAGTGGCGGTGATGAAGTTAGCGATGCGGAACTCCTTGTCACCGGAAATAGAAAATTTACTGCAAAAATGTTTTCGGTGAGTTTTGATTGAGTTAAATGTTGAAAGTAGCCTGAATTATGGCGTTTGGACGTAATACATCATAATAGTTTGTCCTGTGAACTGATGATTCGGTGGCGCCGTTGCCAAGGTATTCACTTCGGCATCGGGGGTCGTGAGTTCGATTCCCACACGGGATAAGTATTTGTGTGACCCACAGATAATTGTTACGGATCTGATCATAAAAAATATAGCTAAGACTCACAACATAATCCACGTGTTGTGCCGACCCTACCTAGGTGGGATCAGGGCAGGAGGAAGATGATGAGTCTGTCCTGTGAACTCTGTAAAAGGTCTGGAACGTCGGGAATTAAAAACACGCGAAAAAATTATTTAATTATTGTTATTAATATTAAAAAAAGTCCAAAGTAATTTTAATAATTCCGTCACTTGAGAAGTAGTACAACGTAAATAGAATGATTGCACACTCATTATTGAAAATTTCTGTCTATGTATTCTGTCTGGTATTTTGTATTTTATATATTTTTTAAGATCCGTGATAGCTCAGTGTCCGGGCGCTAGCTTTTAATTCAATATACTCGAACAACCTGAGTTCGATCCCGGTGCCGGCACCAATCAAATTGTTAATTTCAAGTGCTGTATTATCACGTGCTCAGCGGTGAAGGAAAACATCGTGAGGAAATTGCATATTTTCGAAATAACAATAAAAAAATAAATTTCGAAGATATGTGAAGTCCCCCAATCTGCAGTGGGGCCGCGTGGTGGACTATGCCCTGATACCCTCTGTACAGAGGAGGCCTTTGCCCAGCAGTGGGACATGTATAGGCTGATACCTTATACTTTATTTTTTTTTTTAAAGCGCTACCCTTAATGCAGGGTAACATTATCCCTTGTTTTATAACATAAAATCATGTGTTGAAAAATTTAACAGATTTTACGTGAACAAGTATCCAGACTCTGAAGTTATCTAATTTATCTATGGGTCACACAATTGCTTACCCGTGTGGGAATCGATGCCAGTAGTTTTACTACGGTACCAACAGATTCACCAAAAAACCAAAGTGATTTCTACGCGGATATAAAAGTTACTGTTTGTTTTATTTGACAATTTTTGCAAAAAAATATTAAAATTAAAAATATAAGACAAAATACTATATTTAATATAGCTTATTTTTTAACAAACATGCAGCAATGCATAGGAATGATTAAAACAGAGTAGAAAGGATTTCTCAAAGCGTACGAACACAAGGATTGTACATACATGCATTCTTGTAATATACAATATTTTCATATCATTGACAATATTTTCAGCCCTGTATGTCTATAGGGCTGAAAATATTGTACCCACCAACTATTCTCAGTTTTTTTTTTAGTGTCAAAAGGTCAATATTTTAGATTGGTTTTAATAATAAATTTTTATTTCAGATCAGGGCTTATAAAGTTATTCTTAGTGATACGCCTCAAACTATAAAAGAAATAGAATAACTACAAGAAATAAAATATCTGTTACTTGTAAATAAAAACGAGAACGTTGATAAAACGCTAGTTTTAAAATTAATTCTGGTAACCAAAGTTGTATTAAAAAATAAGCGAGGATATTCTGTAAAATGTTTAGAGAATCTCAAAAAGACATATCGTAGAACAATTTTTGAGAAACGCTAACTTAGATTTTTTATAACTTTGAATACTGACGTTGATGACTGTGTACGAAATCTTATATTTGAGGACCATCTTAATAATAACTTCCTTAATAAAAGTTGCCACTCGTTATTAAAATTTGAAATTAATTATTTGTTTCAGGAAGTCGCCAAAAATAATGTCAAGAGAGCTTTGTTTTGTCGGCATTTTCTGTGCTCACACCTCTAGCGCAACTTTCACTAGCTTCAGAAGGAAGGTCTCATAACGAACTTCTTAGAGCTATTGGATTATCAGATGATGAGTCGGTTAGTTCAGAGACACTAATGGTGATATCATTAACTAAAAATAAAAGTAAAAGTAAAGAAACAGCATTGTTTATTGTGATATTGTTGTAGTTTATGTAAAGGTAGTTGCAGTGTAAGTAAAGAAACAGCATATGCCTATAGATATGTCACACTACTGGACAAACGCCTTCTCTGTACAGAGGGTATAGTCCAACACGGAACTCCACTACGGATTGGCGGACTAAACAAATCTTTGATTTTTTATTTTATTATTACGAAAATATGCAGGTTTCCTCACGATGTTTTCTTTCACCGCTGAACACGTGGTCTGTCAGTCAGCACTTAAAATTAACAATTTCATTGGTGCCGGCACTGGAGATCCAACACAGGTTGCACGAGTATATGAAATTAAAAGTGAGCGCCCGGACAATGAGCTGTCACGGTTGATACTAAATATCTATGTATATAGTATATAATGATAAAATCAGCCTAGTTAAAATTTATTTTATTTAATATTAAAGGTTGGTTGAGATATTTTTTAATAAGATATATATATAACGCGTATTGTTTCAGACTAAATCCGTTTTTGCATATATGAACAAAAAAATCAGATCCGTAAAGGGAATTGATTTAAGAATGGCAAACAGTATTTACATTGCTGATGGATATAATCTAAATGATGATTATCTAGCTATATCACGGGAAATTTTTCAATCGGATATTAAAAGTGTCGACTTTACTAAAAGTGAAAAAACAACAAAAGAAATAAACGCTTGGGTAAGTTGCATGTAGTAGTGCAAAAATTTAAAAATTGTTATGTTACAGCATTATATATTTATATTATAATGCCATTTTTGTACATAAATTACCGAAAACTTTTCAGACACTTGTACGAACTGAGCTAAGCAGCTGATATTAGAGTCCGTGCAATACAGCACGCCAATATTTGCTTGTTCATTCACCACAAACCAACAGATATATCTGTATTTATTTGTTTTCTCGCAATTATTTATTCTTTAGCTCAAATAGGTGACCATAATACTATTTAAGAGTTGAACTCAAATTACTCTAGTGTTCTGAATTTAAAGTAAGCACTAGGACATTGAACTACCACGGTTTAGGTTTTCTGACCCTTACAAAAAACATATTTAATCTATTTTTTACTTAGCGATGGCGACATTATTAGGATTACGCGAGAGGGGGGAATGTATTTAGAATCTATTTAGTTTTTGACAAAACATTTTTTTATTCTTTTAATTAAAAACATTTCCCTTACTTTAGGATAACATTATCCTGTGTTGTAAGGACGTTTTACAAGCATGAATTTCACGTGGACAGACACCCAGATGCGAAAAAACTATCTGTGGTTCACACAAATAGGTGTCCCATGTGGGGGATCGAAACCACGACCCCCGACGCCGAAGCAAATACTTTGGCAACTGCGCCACGGAGTCATTACACATTGATTTTTATATTTTTATTTCCTTAATTTTTACACGGAAAAACATAATAATTTTTCAAGTTACTCAAAAGCACGTAACCGTGCTCAGTAAGTGACACTTTCATAAATTTTTCATTTTTTTTAATTTCAGGTAGAAGACCAAACAAATCATCATATCAAAAACTTAGTTAGTTCCGAAGTTTTATCAGAAGACACAACAGCAATTCTTGTTAATGCAATTTATTTTAAGGTATGGTCTCGATTTATTAAAAAAAACTTTAAAAATAAAGAAGAGAAAATGAAGATTGTGACAAGCTGTCTTCCACAACGCTTAGACGGAGATTAGAATGCCCCTGAAAAACGGCCACGGTGGTAGGGCCATGCAGCAGCCTCGGCTGTTGCACGAGTGGGCAGGCTCGTCCGGGTAAGTACCACGACCTCACAGAAGACCGGCGTAAAGTGGAAGTATAATACTTTCGCGTTTTGTCTCGTGAGTGGCCGGTGGCCGGAGCCCAATTTTCAAAAGGTTGTCAACGCCCAATTTTCAAAAGGTTGTCAACGCATCTGGAACCCTCGGGTGTAGCAGACGTCCATGGGCGGCGGTGTTCACTTAACATCAGGTGAACCGTCTGCTCGCTTGGCAACTTTTCACGTAAAATTTAAAATCCTTTAGAAATAGGTTTACAAAAACTGAATAAAACTTATTTTTAACAGGGTATGTGGAAAGATACCTTTAATAAAAATGTTACACGCGATAGCGATTTTCATGCGACGCGAGAAAAAACTGTTAAAGTACCCATGATGTACAGAAAAGGAAACTTCAATTATGGTGAAAGTGCGGAACTTGGTGCTAAGGTATAGTTATTTTAAGTAATATATTTTATTCGTTCAAAAAATTAACAATTATCTGTTCAGTCATATTTTTATATTTATAAATATCATAAACATGTTTGACCAATTCCTACGGGAATTCATTTGTTTCTAACATTTACATTAAAAAAAAACTGTTTTTGGAAAGCGTTTAACACTCCAAAAACAAAATTGTTGTTCTAAGTGCGTTTATGTAACTTGTTTTTATTTTGTTTATTATTTTCATTTGAAATATTCTTGAAAAACAATGTATCGTAAGATTGTATGCAATACATTTCTTAGCTTATAAGCTGTTTTAAAGAAATTCAAATTATTATCATTTGATTTAAGGGTTTTGGCTCTGTGATGACAACGATTATTAAATTGACTAATGTAATAATGGCAAACATGTTATACATATAGATTTTTTTCGTGAATCAGTTAGGTCAACAGTTTTGTTTTAAGATCAAGAATAAATTCTTAAATTGTTAATTAATATTATAGTGATTATATGTCAAAACTTTTTCTGTTCTGACCCATTGTACAATTTTCTGGAGCCACAAATTTGACTAGTCTCGCTTTCGAAAGGAAGCCGTTTCTCAATGCAACACCGATCATCATACTTCCATCGATAAAATAATTTTCTGCTGCTCAGTATGGATACTTCCATACTAATATTATAAATACGAAAGTAACTTAGACGGAGTTACCTGTCTCGGAGTTTATCTGTCTCGTTTACACTCCAAAACTACTGAACCGATTTAAAAGAAATTTGGTACACAGATAGTCTAGAGCCTGAGAAAGGACATAGGCTATATTTTTATTAGAAAAATGTTGTACAGGGTTAAAAGATATTTATTTAAGGGCTTCAACGCGAGCGAAGCCGCGGGCGAAAAGCTAGTTGTTTTTATTTTATCGTCATATGCTCATTAATAAGTTAATAATATAAGGGCATTTATGAGCTGTAGTAACTTTCGATCATTTAGTTGAAAAATTAAAGCGAATGCTCTATTGTGAATATAATTTTGTTAATATTAAAAACATCATAACATTTCTTTCATTGATATTTCTCAGATTTTAGAAATCCCTTATGAAGGAGACGAATCTGCATTTTACATAATATTACCTGATGAAATCGATGGAATAACTGAGCTCGAGAATAAGTTACAAAATCCTTCTGTGTTGGAAAATTCCTTAAAAAGTTTATTTGAAATACAAGTTGCGGCACACATTCCTAAGTTTAAAATCGAAACGACAACAAACTTAAAAGATATATTGCAAAATGTGAGTATTAATTTATATTACTAATATATACACATCATAATAATTATAATTGAATTGTAATTATTATGATGTGTATGTAATATACATATTGGTGTTTTTTTCAGATTGGCGTTGAAAAAATATTTTCTGCTGGTGAAGCAAATCTGAACAAACTGTTAAAAGAAAACAGAGATTTATACATAAGTGACGCAGTCCAAAAGGCTTTTATAGAAATAAATGAAGAAGGTGCTGAAGCTGCTGTAGCAAATGGTAAGGATTCATTGACATTTCAATAATTTTCTTTTCACAAGTTTAACATAAATTTATGTGTAGTCAAAGGTTATGAGTAATTGTTATTCGATTGGAGTATATTCAGCTAGTCAAAATAATTAATTTAGTATATTATGATGATTAGTATATTAATTTGGTACATTATGATGATACGTTTTGACATTGGAATAATGTTTAGAAATCTCATGTGATAATATGTTTATATTTCGAACCTATATATTTTATTAAAATAGTTTTCATATTATGATAAAACAGCAATATTCAATTAATTTTGAAAGTGGAAATCCCATAATATTTTAAGTGAAACTTAAAAGTAAGAAAATATTATTAATATTATTTCGCCGGCCCTGATAAGTAGTTATTATATGTGTTCGGTATTTTGTTTAATAATTTCTACATTGGATTTGGTTTTGAAAAATGTTATCACCTAATACTAGCTATGTACACGGATTATGAAAATATTTAATCCGCCCAGACCTAAGAGGATGCTGTCCTATGAGAAAAAGTCTCCTTTTACTGTTATAAAACATAGCCCTAATATCATGCAAATCATCCAATACATAACAATGTCAATGTTCGTTCGTTCTAAAAGTACTAGTAAAACTATAGTATATATCAATATGACTTTTTTCTGCCCATTTCAAATGACCGGCAAATAATTCTTACTCTTCATCAATATTCGTTAAAGACGTTTATGAATTGTGATATCATGGTGAATCGCGTATCTAAAATAGTTTAGTTTTATAATTAATATTTATTTAATTCAACTAGCATCAATTTTCATCAATGCATCCGTTCTTAAAAAAAAATTATATTGTTTGTATTAAGATAGATCCCAAGTAGTTAGAGGTAGTGTCACTTGTAATAATCAAATTTCAAATATCAGAATTACGAACATTTTTACTAAATGTGATTTTATATTATTTCAGACTTTGTTATTTCCCTTGCGGCTCCATTTACACCGCAGGATATCAGTTTTGTTGCAGACCATCCGTTTGTGTTCGTGTTAAAAACAGGGGAAAATATTTTGTTTAGTGGAGTCTTCTCATCTTAATTAATCACATTATACAAAATAAAAAATTATAAAATAAAAACTTGTTCTATAACTGACTTGCTTTTTTTTAAGTTATTTGGTTAATAATATTATATACTTGTAATATTTATTACATAGAATAATGAAAATGAAAATGAAAATATGTTTATTGACAAACAGAATTACACTTAAGTACATTGTGCGTTGGCACCACACTAGGAAAAGCCTGTCCTGTGGTTGCCGTCTAATTGCGATTTCCATCTATTTTACAAATTTGCCAGTCGAAAGATCGCTTCACTACTAAAATACTAAAACTTTAATAAATATTACTAAAACTTTAAATTTTAGCAAAATTATATATTAATTTAATATGAGCAAAAATAAGAAGAAGTAAATAGATAGAGGTTGCTTAAAACAATAAATAACCACAAATACTAGTATTATTATATAAAATAATAACCACAAATACTAGTATTATTATATAATAAATGTATTGTTCTAAAAGATATTAATTTTACCGTTGTTATCCTCTGCACTTACCATGATACTTATAAATTTGTAGAAAATGGACGAAAATATTTTCGCTGCTATGAGGATTTGAACCTGCGTCCTACGGTGTACAAGCTTGACGGTCTAACGACTGAGCTTATCTTCACAGCGACGAAAATATCAGGGTATTTTATCTACTTTGATTTTTATTACATTTTTACAAAAAAAAAGTAGATAAAATACGATGAGGATGGACGACGAAGGATGCAGGTTCAAATCTAGTCACGCCCGGCACGAGCAATCACCTCGTGGCTGTTATTACTTGAGTGCGCGGTATAACTTTTCTAATAATTTAAAGGAATTACATTTACTTAACATAAATCGACGGAAATAATCTCCACGTAGATCTTTGCGTCATTGTGTGTAATGTAGAAGGTGTGGTGTTTGTGAACTAGCAGCAAGAAATCCTTAGGTCATTAATCAAAATGAACAATATAATTAAATTTACATTTTACATGTTCTTGCGGAGACAGCGGAAAAATAATGACATTCTTGTCAAAACTTGGATGACAGTTAGAAGAAAATATTCCAATTTTAAATGACAAACATTAATGAAATTAGAGCAAAGAGTAAGTAATTAAAAATAACTACTCGTGCAAATCAAAAAGTATTTAAGCTTTTGTTTGTCGTGACTTAAATACTTCCAGCGGCAAAACATTTGTCGTTCATTTTTATACAAAAAATGATATTGGCTCGTCCGGGAAGTATCATAGCCTCACAGAAGACTGGCGTGAAGTGGAAGAATTAAACTTTCTCGTTTCGTCTAGTGAGTGAAGTAACCCGGGCCCAGTTCTTTAGGTCAAGGTTGTTAACACATCTGTTAAGCCTCAGGTGGTAACCCTCACTTAATAGCAGGTGAAACGCCTGCTCGCTTGACAACCTTTCACATAAAAAAAACATGTGTGCACGCACGTGAGAAGTTGTACTTCTTTAACGTAACCAAAGAAAAATAGCTAATAATTTATCTCCTCTTTGTTTCTGAAAAATACATTAAATGCAACTGATCACCGTTTAATTAAATAACTTAGAATTTGAGGTAATCTTTCTTACGTGAAAAAGCATTTTTCTGTACTTGTAAAAGATTAATTTAATATTCAAGAAAATAATTATGTTGTACATTAATAACTTTACTCATAATTATAATACGAGGAACACAATAAGAAAAAATCGTTTTACGAAGAAAACAAGGGTTCTCTGTAGAGAACCATCCAGGATTCATGAAAAAAAAAAAAACGTTAAGGCCGAGTATACACCGTACATCCGAACAATGCCACGCAAAATATAGAGACCAACAAAGTTTTACCGATCGCAAGACTGTTGCTTATTCCATTGATAACGATTAATTCCTACTTTTCAAGATTTACAAGATTATACAAGAGCTACTGGAAAACGACAAACACTGGAAATTAACAATAACAGCCTCTAACAGTCTCAGTTGAACAAATCAGAGATTTATTCGCTATAATTCTAACAACATGTAACCCATTGAATTCAAAACAGCAATGGAAAAAAAAGAATCTGAGTGAAACTTCAAAAAGATTGTGAGTGATAACATACTGTACCTAATCCGACAAGCTACTAAATGGAACTATGTTTACGGATTTATCGTGTTTATTTTTGGTTATGCACTTACCGAGTCTGCCCACTCGTGCAACAGCCAACAGACAATTATTAGATAAATATTTAGCAATAAAAAGACAGAGTAGTACAATTCAGGATGTCAGGATATTGACATGATATTTTCAGTGATCAAATATGAAATCGAAAGGATAAAGTTAAGATGTCAATAAACTAATTTAATACATTATTCACAGCAAAGTACTTCTTGATGAAAATGAAAAAAAAAAAAATACAATCAAAAACTTATCGTGGATCGGAGCAGCAATTAGCGGAATTGTTTATTTGCACCCGCCAGGTGGCACATGGAAAACGTTTTAATAAAGTTTTGCTGGCAGAAGTATGTGCTTAACAACTCATCACACTTGCACGGTTATAATGCAGCATTAGCGCCACTGGTGTCGAAGGAGAATGAACTGTTCATTCCATCATACAACTACCATTGAGTATAGTCAAAGAACAATTCCCAGTATATAAAATCTCTAGATGACATGGACGGGGTGAACTTCTAAAACTAACTTAAATTATCTTCTGAGACTTATGCACCAAGGCATAGAAAAATAAAAATAAAAGGGCAAAACGTTACAAGAATAACTCTTAAGTTATGGGAGCTTGCTTACTCATGCTCTCAGGAGATTTTTTACTAAAAATCCATCCCAAAGTCAACAACAGTAGACTAAATCAATGCTTAAAAATTTAAATCACTGGCTACACATAGAGAAACATAACAAAAAACATGAAAATTGTACTATCGTAAGACGAAATAACAGCACATGTTACTTGAACTCTTACAAAAACAAACTTTTACTGATAGGCAAATAAAAATATCGTACTGACCCAACAACCGGCCTTATGATCTCAATTTATATGTATCCAAACATTATTTACATCAAATTTATATGAATTCTAATTGGATATATCATAAGATACTAAAATAAAGTTGTCAACAATATCAACTTTAATATTGCAAAAAAATTTCAAAGAGAATAGAGAGAAAAAATAAAAAATTATTAAAAACTTTTTAAGGAATATCATTATAATGTATTCGACTAAAAATTAGATCTCCGGTCATACTACACCGAAATCTCAACTAACCAAAACTATGCAATGGAACAAGGTGATCGTCAAATATCTATGTACCATCAAAGGCAAACTTATGAGTAGAAAGGGCAAAGGATGCAGTATTTGTCTCCATGATACAACCAATCTCTACTGAACTTCTATTCAAATGTAAAACAATGTAGATTGTAATCCGCTATCAAACTAGCCTATAGTTTTTCAATTAAAAAAGGTAATGACGTACTATATAACATTGTGGCCTCAACCTCAAAAACTGCTGATGTTTTCAAGGGCTATAAGTAGATTGCTGACGAGGAGGGAATTAGAAAATCCGGCCAAGTGCGACTCTGACTCGCGCACCAAGGTTTACCAGTATCAATAAGAACGGCAAAAATCATGTGTGTTGTATGGGAGCCCAATTTAAATATACTGACTAAATATCATCGTTCATGAGATACAGCCTGGTGACAGACGGAGAGACGGACCGACGGACAGACACAACGGACAGACAGACAGACAGAAAGGAACACAGACAAACAGCAGAGTCTTGTAATAGGGTCCTGTTTTACCCTTTGGATACGGAACCCTAAAAATTGATACATGTTGACCCGTGCGAAATTATCGCACAGTACCATAATCAGTCACCGAATGATAATATAATAATATGTAAATAATTATGTATCGGTGAGAAGTATCTTATATTGATGAATTCAGTCTACTTCGCTATCGCTCACTTACACAAATGTCAATAGATGACCTTATCATACAGTCTTATAAGAAACTTTTAAATAAAGTTTTTTTTACGCAAATATATAAATAAATATTTTAAGACACATTTTGACACAACGTTTTCCAGTCCTTAACTAAGCAACACTTGTACTATGGGTACTATATAACTAATAAACATACTTAAACCTACTTTTCTTTTGTAAATAAATACATACTATACGTATATAAACAACAGGCACTGGAAAAACACTTTTTTCATTCCAAAATACTTTTCCAGTACTGGGGATCGAACCCACACCCTCTGAAGCTGATAAATAGGTCCGGTAGGTTCACTACCCACTATGCCAAGCAGGTCGTCGTCAACTTCGTTTTATTTCTTTTGTATTATTTTTTTAAAACAAAGCCCTTACTTTAGAATAACATTATCCTGTGTTTTAACGACGTTTTACAAACATACATTTCACGTGGACAAACACCCAGATGACAACTATCTGTGTGTCACACAAATAGTTGTCCCGTATGGGAATCGAACGCACGACTCCCGACGCCAAAGCCAATACCTTGGAAACTGTTTGACTATTTTTTTCAATAGCGGCTAAAATAATTTTTAAAATGGTGTTCAAATGATTATTTTCTTTAATAATTTAAGTTATGGCGTACCGACAAAATAACAACTTTAAGACATAAATGAGCTATCCCGGATGAGAGAATAACAAATGCTGTTTAAAAACAAGTATTGGAAATAGAATATTTTTAAATACAAGAAAAATGTTTCTTAAATATTAAAGTTAGTATTTTTTTCAACTACTACACAATCTCATATCAACTCTCTGAGTGAAGCTAAGAGCCTCAGCTAGTTTATAATAAATACTACTTCTCCGATCGTGTAAGGCATTCATAGATAAATATTATTTTTTCTCTACCGTGGTAATATGATAATTTAAGCATTTTATGTATTTAAAATGCATCTTTACATCATTGTACTTTTTACATACAACAAACATGTTACGCCAGCTTGCTGATTTTTAAAGATCAATTTAAAGAAAACTCATTTGTTTAACCCACAAAAAGTTACAATCCAATAAGTTGTAATATCTTGCTAGTTAAATGTAAAGAAGGAAAAGGATCATATATTTTAAAATGCATGAAACATACATATGATCTGTAATCTTTTTAAGATATAATCATTTATATTAGATTTTGGGCTGTGGTGACTAGTTCTTATTTTTTGAGAAAAGACATATAAGTATGTCAAAATATTAAAGCAACTATTTAAAATAATTAATGTTCGAATTATAAAGTATATCAAAGTTTCAAATTTTTTTCCCGTTTACAAAACTTATTTATTTGAGAATCGCAAGTAATGCAGTAAAGTTAACAGGTAATAGTAAATTTGAAACTTTATCCTACATCCAACCATGTACCCGTCACTGTAATGGCATTCATTACTTCAAATACAAGACTAATTAATATTTAGAAGTTTTAACGTAAAAATTCTAAAATACTAACATTTTTATCGTTAAGTAACAATAAAAAGTATCAAACATTACTTGAACATTTAGCGTGCATAAGCGACTCTAAAATTCCGACGTTATTTCTCCTTGTTTAAAGATAATAAATTTGATATTCTTCCCGCTGAGCGTAATTTCAAGAACGTCATAATTACAATGACCTATTGTATACCCAAGATAATATAACGTCAAGAATTTTCAAATATCGATTTACGAATCAACCACAGCTTCGAACAAGCAAACAGGTTAGTATACTTCCAGCAAGCGTGCGAGTGACCGCTACCGATATGAAGCCGTGTATTTGCCGTAAGTTATTCTGTATACATTAGTATTGTTTTATTTTGTCGTATTTTTTATTCTGGTTGAGTAATTCTTATCATCTGATTGAGTATTCGTTTTAAATAGGAATTGTTTAAATTATTTAATCAAAATAATTATAATTTATAGAATTACATTTCATGGGTATTGGTGAAGTTTCATGGCATTGTTACTAAACCCTTCCATAAATTAATATTTCTTTATTGATTTTGCGGATAAAATTAACAAATAAAATGTTTATCGAACAAAATTAACGTAAGTCAATATCAATAACTTCTAATATGTTTTGTCAAATTAGGTTAACGATATAAAGTACCTACTTACAAAGCAACTAAATATCAACGATTTTTTTCTCGTCGCTAGATGACATTGAAATACCCAGACAATAAAAATAGTCATTGACTACAGATGTACATTACACTCTCAGACCGGTTTCCATCACACGCGATTACAGAGAGGTCTTAACCGCTACATTATTGTGTATGACACACAACGCAGTATTCCTAATAACATTTAATGCTTTAAAAATTAATTCTATTTGAGTTTGACGTGCTTAATTTCTAATAGTTAGTTAAGCAATTTATCGCACTGGGGGGTTCTTGGCAATATAGTTTTGAGGTTTAAATAAAAAAAAAAAAACACGACAGTTTGCTACTACCTTTTTAGTGTGACTTGGTATTTTCACTAGGTATTACTAGACAAATAATATAAAAGCCTTGTCTTCTGTAGATTACACATCTCTACAGAATACAAAATAATCTCCCTTCCTGCTATCTGTCCCTGTACACACTTAGATCTATTAAACTACGCAACGGTTTTTAATGCGGTTTTCATTTAAAGATAGGGTGATTCAAGACGAAAGTTTGTAACTATAGTTTAATATTGATTTGAGATAACTTTTTGAAACATAACGATAATTGTTTAAGATGAAGGACGAAATAAAGCCAAATGTCAGCTCTCATCGAAAATGCAGTATTATTATTTTGAAATATACCAAATGCGTGTGTGTAACCGATACGCGTGGTTGAAGTAAAACTTATCGACGACGTGGGTTCGATTCCCATAGCGGCGACAATCTTTTCGTACTTTTTCTACATGTTTTAATGAAGTAAAACTTCTTTTAAACGAACTATATTCTTTCTACTCAAATGTATTTCCGTCCGAAAAAGATCTAAGTTACGAGGAGTAATCGATAAATCGAGGAGGAGTATCTGGCGCTTACTTGTACATCTGGTGTATATCGGTATATATCGGTGGTAGGGTGGTACATAATAGTATACATAACTTCTGTGTTTCGTCTGGTGATTGAGGAAGCCGGGGCCCACTTTATTATTAATGTGGCAACACATCTGCAATCATAAGGGTGTTGCAAATGTCTATGGGCGGTTATCACTAAACATCAGGTGAACCGCCAGCTCGTTTGCCACTGTATACATAAAAAATTCAAGATATTATTAAAATCTATACTATCTCTCAATATAAAATGTCAGTGTAAATATTAACTACCGTATTAAAATATACATACATATCTCATGGTTACAGTAATAATAATAGCAGTCATGACTGTGGGAAATTATGGTGATGAATTTATCGACGCCGAACTTCTAATCGCCGGGAATAGTAAATTTACTGCAAAAATGTTTTCGGTGAGTGAAAATTTGTTACCACTGATATGACTGTAATAAGATGTAGAAAAAATTATATATTGGTAAATTTAACTTGTTTGTATGACACGGTTGCTTGAGATGTAATAAAAGTTAAAAAGGTAACTGCATACTTGTTCATGGTATTGGCAAGGTTTTATACGACACGAGCCACTTGTTTGACGTCAACCTTGCCTAGGAAGTAATACCCAGATCCAGGAATATTATCTGCCAGTTACACAACGTATATCTGTACACGAGGAAGGGACCCATAGAAATTCAATTTACGATCCCTGGCGATGTAGTCAATAGTATAGTATAGTCGTAGTGGTAGTCTAACTGTGGCCAACCGAGCCTTTCAGAAATAAATTAATTGCTAAAAGGTTATAAAAAAGGTTCTGTGATGATACAAGACGTGTATGGTATACCCTTAAAGCTGTCAGCTAAGATCATCGGATAAATTTATACCAATAACACACCACATATAAAAGTAAAAAGTAAAGTAACAGCCTATAAATATCCCACTGCTGGGATAAGGCCTCCTGTACAGAAGGTACGGATTCGCGGACTTTACATATCTTCGGAATACTTTTTTTGCTAATATTTCTAATTTATGCAGGTTTCCTCACGATGTTTTACTTCACCGCTGAGCACGTGATAATTCAGCACTTAAAATGAACAATTTCATTGGTGCCGGCACCGGGGATCGAACTCAGGTTGCTCAAGTATATGTTAATTAAGCAAACACTGCTCCAAATCCATAATAAAGAGCTATCACGGCTCTTTTACCTTTAACATTACGCCAATCAAAAATATATTAATAAATGAAAAATATATTCTCATAACGATTTCTCAAAATGTATGAAATACATGTCAACAATGTAAATCTAATCGATCTAACTTATTTCATATTAAAATAAGGGATTTCATAGTAGGTACTTCAACATTCATCATCATTTCAGCCTGTTCGAGTGTACTGCTGAACGTAGGCCTTCCCCACAGACTGCTACAGAGCATGAATGACCCTGAGACCCGACTTCATCCATATACTATGATGACCAATACGTGGCCGCCACTCGAGAACCTTTCTTCCCCATCGGTTTTTCGAGCTATGTGGCCACTTCAGCTTACTAGTCCTCTAAGCTATGTCGGTAACTTTTGTTTCACTGCGGATGTCTTCATTTCGGACTCTATCACGCAGAGATATGCCAAACATTCCATAGCTAGCTGAGCTTGAGCTTCCTCATGCAGCTAGCAGTAAAGGACTAAATCTCAGTTCTGTAGGTCACTGGCAACACACATTGAGTGATGACTAATCGTCAAATATATACGGATATTTGACGAGAAGAACGTTTTCCGAAAGCTGCTGATTTAACTAGCAAGACTAACTGTCCTAGGTAAACATACATACTCGTCAGCAACTTGGAGCAAAACTTACTCCCAACAACAACAACAGTAAGGCTAACAACCTTACTTAACATTAATAAGCGGAAATACTCCGTTCTAATTTTTGTGGTTAAAGAAAAATTCTATTGTAAAAGTAATCTGGAAATAACCTAGTTGATATTTTGGTGAAAATATACGCAAATACCTGTATTATTGCTATGACGTTGAAATGTCGTCATGTATACAAATCTCAAGTTCGACATCTACCGAATGCCTTGCCGAATAATTGTAGTTAAAAAAAATATTAAAATTTCAGGAAGTCGCCAAAATCAACGCTAAGAAGAGTTTTGTTTTGTCTGCTTTTTCTGTGCTCACTCCTCTAGGCCAACTTTCACTTGCCTCAGAAGGAGACTCTCACGACGAAATTCTTAGGGCTATTGGATTACCAGATGATAATTCGGTTAGTTCAAAGACATAAATATTATTATTTTTACAAATTTTATATTATATACTGAATTATTTATGTATATAATAAAACAACAATAACAGCATGTTTTAATCGAATTGTATTGTAGTTATTATATTTTATATAGTATGTATATTTTAATTTTCGTGTGTGCTTACACAACAATTTTTCTGTAAAGTATATAAGATGCATATTGTTCCAGACCAAATCAGTTTTTTCATATATGAACAAAAAATTCAGATCCGTAAAAGGCGTTGATTTAAGAATGGCAAACAAGATTTACGTTGCTAATGGATATGATCTAAATGATGATTATGCTGCCGTATCAAGGGAAACTTTTCAATCAGATATCAAAAGTGTTGACTTTACTAATAGTGGAAAAACATCAGAAGAAATAAATGCTTGGGTAAGTTGAATGTACCGATGTTATATTATGCAATATTATTTAAAAAAAAAAACGTTAAAAATGTAATACAATGAACTGTGATCTAAATCACGAACGAGACTATAAGATAAACAGAACTTTTACAATTGGCTACTGTCAAAATTAATCAATAATTTTATTTGTGTTTATGCTCTGCGTGTATGTGTGTATTTGAGATGAGATAATCGATCGAAATCCAAAGATTCTAAACAAAATTATGACATACAATTCTCTATTTTTTCAATACGCAATTTAATATCACTAGTTCTCTTTATCAGTTTTTTCCTGAAAATATCTAATCTTTCCTCAATTATCTAATCATTAAAATATTCTGATTATTAAAAGATTTCGCAATTTTTATTTTTTATTAAAACGACAACCCTTATAATTTCCGGAAATTTCATACAAATTACACAAGTAAGCTTAATACAGTTTAAGTTATCGAGTCAATGTATTTTTTAATTACAGTCAGTGATCCAACTACAAACAATCAAAAGTGGTACAGTTAAGCTAAAATAATACATAAAATTCCAGGTAGAAGATCAAACAAACCATCGTATAAAAGACTTAGTTGATCCCGGCACATTATCAGGGAACACAAGGGCAGTTCTTGTTAATGCAGTTTATTTTAAGGTATGATTGATGTAATTTATAAAAATCCCTAATCGTTTAAAGTATCGAGAAGTGGTAGTCAGACAAACACAACTAATAGACGTAGATTTAAATGGCTTTAGATAACATAAATAATTTTAGGATTTTCACTCTCACCACAAAATCATTTTATAGGAATTGATTTTTAATGATATATTGTAAAACAAATAATGAAAACTTTATTTAAATAGGGTATGTGGAAAGATCCATTTAATAAAATTTTTACACGCCAAAGCGATTTTCATGTGTCGGGTGAGAAAACTGTTAAAATACCTATGATGTACAGAAAAGGAAACTTCAACTATGGTGAAAGCGCGGATCTTGGTGCTAAGGTAAAGTTATTCTTTGTAATTTATTTTATTTCTAAAAACTTTAAAAAATGAGCTTTCTAATAATATAGACATCAAAAACGCTAAAATATTGTGATATTTGCTAAAATAATTTAAATTATGTTTTTTTTAAATGCTGGATGCAAAGTTTTTAATCTGAAATTGAATTCTGTTTGATTTTAGATAACAGAATCGTATTTAACAATATAATATAATATAAAAAAAACGCATGTTCATCAAAAACATTAGCGTAATAAAAAAAAATTACCAAAATTTTATGCCTCTTTGTTTGAGAAAATGACATTAAAGCCAAATAATAACGGCTTTGTTAAACAATTTCGAATTATAGATGAATTATGAAATATCAAAAAGTTATTGGTGTCCATTGTAATACCCGGTGGCCGAAGTTGGACGCTGTGTAACAAACTTCATCATAACGTTACTGTCAGTCTGCGCGTGCATTGTAAAAAATTTACCTTTATAACTTTTTCCAAATGCGCCAAAAGAAGTTTCTCTTTTTTTGTGGGTTTTGAGTGGTTGAATTGATTAATTATTACGACTATTTTTGCATATAGAAACATTTATTGTTTTTAAACGTTAAAAATTATTGAAAATAATTTACGCAGCGGCGAAATTAATGAATGATGAATTTAAACGAAAAATTAAAAGTAAAGTTATGGCTAAAGCCTATTACACTATTGCCGAATATCTTGACGACGCCAATGTGTGGGGTTAATACTGTTGATACTTACGTAGGTTAAAACAAGACTATTATACCTGTACTATTATATTGTAAACTGACCTTTTAAAAAAGAGCAACTGTTGAGTTTCTTGCCGGTTTCTTCTCAACAGAAACTGCTTTCCGAACCGGTGGTAACTTACGAACGTGTTAATTTCTTTGTAAAATTTTGACGTATCATAAGAACGCGCAAGCGTCTATGTGAATAAAGATATTATATTATTATAGAGGTAGCACGGGCTTTTGGTATAAATCGAAATAAAACTAATCGTCGTGCGCCGTTAGAGCATCACAAGGGACCTCACAGAACAGCATCCTGGTCCTGGAAGACTGCAACATCATTTTATTCAATTCACCTTCAGACGTCAGTCTAAGATGACTAACTTATCCCAGAAATAGGTTTAGGGCTTCAAAACGAAACTGGCATAGTTGTTCGCCTTAAACTGTACAAAACAAACTGCTTAAATATGGTCATATTGTAGGTCGCCTGATGCGGTGTTTGAGTGTAGAGTAGCGGGATAATATCATATTTTTTGAAATGTTCTAACTTGGACTTAATACGAGAGTTCTGAATACGAGACTCTTCTCGAATTCAGTCTAGGTCCAAATCAGGACTAAGAATCTTTTGACGTTGGCGGGACCACGCCTAGGTGGGAAGAGAGCAGAAGGCTGATGATGATATTTTATAAACGCGTTAATATCTTGTGTTAAGTTTAATTAATAATAATTAATTTTCATTGATGATTTTCAGATTTTAGAAATTCCATATGAAGGTAGTGAATCTGCATTTTACGTAATATTACCTGACAAAATCGATGGAATAATGGAGCTCGAGAATAAATTAAAAGATCCTTCTGTGTTAGACAATTCGTTAAAAAACTTATTTGATGTGGAAGTAGAGGCATATATACCTAAGTTTAAAATCGAAACTACAATAAACCTTAAAGAAATATTACAAAAGGTGAGAACTAGTGTACTTAGTTATTTTTGCAAAAACTGTTAAAATACTCATATCAATTTGTAAAAAATATAATTAATATTTATAGTACAATAACTTGTATTTTTCTGAGAATATAATTGATTTATGGTTAGATTGGTGTTAAAAAAATATTTGAAGCTGGTGAAGCAAATTTCAACAAACTGTTAAAAGAAAAAGGAGATTTGTACATAAGTGACGCGATCCAAAAGGCCTTTATAGAAATAAATGAAGAAGGTGTTGAAGCCGCAGCAGCAAATGGTAAGGATTCTTTGAGTTTTAAAATATATTGTTACCACAAGCCTAATATTTTATGTTACCACATATATAAGGTTATAATTAAATCTCAAATAATTTTTCAGTTTTATATTCCAGATAATTTCGTTACTGACAGTCCATTCTTTTTTAATTTAATAATTAACTAAAATTCTATATTTAATGAAGTCTTTTCAGCAAATTGAATAGATTTAATTTTTCATGTTACACTGATATGAATAACGGTGATTTTTTAATTACCTTTTTGATACATTTCTCATCATCATAGCATCCAAAAGTATAGCAGGAAAAAATTTCACCTGAATTTTTCTACTACTTCTACTAGTAGTTGAAATTTAATTTTTTAATAATAATAATACTATAATTTTGTGGTCAGTTCTTATGATGAAACATTAAAATTTTTTGAAAAAATGTCCGAAAAGGTTTTGTTTTTGCCAATGCTGGAGTTTTACCCACGTCTTTCGGATTCACACCCAGACGCTTTAACCACTAAGTTAAACGGCTGACTGCCACACCGATTGTAAAACAAGTATCGATATTAAATGTTGCCTAAGCAAAATGGTCCATCAACTGAAACGTTAGAAAACTTGTAATATATAAATATTTCAATTGACATAAAACTAAATTTACATTATGTTGAGTGCCACAATTTCTTTTATTATCTTTTTAATTTTTGGGGTTACAACGGTTTTTGAAGCGTTTGGAAAATATTATGACAATAAATTTGTTAAGATGCGTGCGCACACCGAGTTGGTTGCAAAGCGACCAACTTCAAGTTATTACCCATAATTCTAAGTTATGTAATTAAACCAATAGCCATTTAATGTCTTTTTCAAAAACAAAAAGTACTAGCACTGGGGATGAAATTTTAAGTTATTTTTATTTTGTTACTCTAAAGCAGTATAAATTCTTACGTGCGTACGTAATTCATTGATTATATTTCGTATCTATTTAACAAAGTGAGTCTGATTAATTCTTAGTAAATAATTTAATGATTTATGTTATTTCAGAGTTTGGTATTTCCTATCTGGCTGCATTTATTTCCCAGAACATCAAATTTGTTGCAGACCATCCGTTTGTATTCGTGTTAAAAACAGGGGAAAACATTTTGTTTAGTGGGGTCTTTTCACCTTAATTTTATATATTGTATAATTTTATGAAATAAAAATTTATCTAATCATCGATTTGCTTTATTTAGTCCCATGTTAAGTGGTATAATATATTATTATTTGTCAAATATTACAAATAAAAATTAACTTGGATAGGTAGGGCTACACAACAGCTTCTGCTGTTGGATGAATGGACAGGCTCGTCAAGGGAAGTATCGCGGCGTCGCAGAAGACCGGCATGAAGTGAAAACTTTGGCGTTTCGTCTGGTCAGTGTGGTAACCAGGGCCCAGTTTTTTAAAGGTCAACGCATCAGCATGCCATCGGGTGTTATAAATACCGATTCATATTGCTAACATATCACCCTTTAAGCGTTCGTTGGCTTAACATTATATTATACGTGAGTTTTTTTTATTAAAAAAAAAAACATAGTAACTTCTTTAATGACTGACTAAGAATAAACAACAAGTTTATTCTTTTTATTGAAATTTTGTGGAAAAAGTACGAAAAGATTATCGCCGCTGTGGGAATCAAACCCACGTCTTCGGCATTCGCGGCCTGATGCTTTAGCTACTAAGCTAAACGGCTGATTGTCATATCGACGAAAATTTTTAACACATTGTTTTTAACCGACTTTAAAAAGAAGGTTTCTAATTTTTTTTATGTGTGTTCGCGAATAACTTCGTCGTTTATGATCCGATTTTGATGATTCTTTTTTTTTGTTGGAATGGTTGGAATGGAGATATCCCAAGGGTGGTGGAAACCCGGATCTGATGATGGCATCCCAGAGAAATCGAGGGAAATCCTCAAATGTTATAAGTATTAACAATGTTTTTTAATTTCCGGTTTGAAGTCGGTCTTTTGTTAAAAATTATAATTTTTAGCATTTAAGCAATGCTTGGCGCATCCATTGCTATATCCTTTCCAGCATACAAAAAATTTCGAATATCGTTTTACAACGATAATTCGACCGAGAGATGTCGCAATTGCTTTTTAGAAATTATTTTTTTGTGCTAATCTCTGCACTTAAGATTAAACATTAAAATTTTGTAGAAAAAGCACGAAAAGATTATCGCCGCTGTGGGAATCGAACCCACGTCTTCGGCATTCGCGACCTGACGTTTATATTTTAAAGAATATGTGTTTTCGACAAATATGAAAATGACGCGGCAGTAAATGAACTAAAAATGGCATACTCGATATGTTTTAGAGCACTTTTCACCTGTAAATATGCTATCTTAACGTCTTTAGTTTCCAGCCTTCATTTGTTGCCTCTATTCAATACAAAAAAATAGATATTTCCTATGTGACGGTACTTACGACATCGTCACCGTGCCAACTGTTTTTTCCTAAGGTAAAAAGTAGGAAACAGCAACCTACAACGCCAAGACGAAAAACGTGTACTTTAACAAGCGATATATTTATGTTCTTGACACATTTTCCCTAATAAAGTTGTAATACTTTTTATATGGTGTACATGATTGTTGCTTGAAAATTATTTCAATGAAACATGGTTTAAAATACATGTCAATAAAGGAATTTAGGCAAGCGTTTCTTGATATTACGGCATGACCATTTAACACCAAATATATTTCATGCAGTCCAGATTATAAGGCTAATTAAGGTTCCAAAGTGCAATGATGAAGTAGTTCAGTGTGTTATAAATCAGAGCCCGAAGAAAAATGTGAACTTTTACTAAGCATATAGTAAGTCAAATGCGAATAAGCTTAGACCTCGTCCAACCACACGCCTTTAAATGAAGTACCTGCATTCTATTCTTAGAACGGCATAACGCTTTCATGATGTGACGTGTTTAGATGTGTGTAGTGCAATAAGCGCACAAAAGTTTTCTTGTCAGTCTTCGAACCTTCAATACAGTATCGGAGACCTCCTTTGGGGCAGAATGTTCAAATCTATCTAAACTCACGAAATTATTTACCGTCCTATAATCTAATCTTGAGGTGACAGTGATGGACATTATTTTGCACACATTATGGTGCGAGGGATGATCACTTCACATAGTTGAAGCCATCTGAGAGAAAAGACTACTCAGATGGCTTCGACTACCTTCTGTATGATAGACCAGGACGGTCTTGATTGGTTGAGTTATAATAGATAGAAGTCGTAGTTGAGTCCACCTAGTCACGATGGAACCAAGTTTCGGTCTTCGAAATAACAATGACTCGTCTAGATGGGGCTAATTTAGCCAAGCGAAAGGGTCACAGTTCCGAATGGTGACCTCGGCGACATCACAATGATTTGGTCAATGCTTGATGCAATGGCATAATTGTTCCGATATGTTTATGTTTTAATGTTCAAACATAAACATACCGGAGCATTTCCATGTCACTTCATACGCTGATAATTATCTACATTCAACAACCAAATAAAAATGTGATTCCAGAATTAATACGAAATTACGGTCATCGGTACAAAACCAAGTCAAGTTGGATAATTCTATTACATTATTGATTATACAGATGATTGTATTCCGCATATAAACCGAGATATCTTGGTAACTTATTTAAGTTGAAGTGACTATATTTTAATTTTATCAGGTACATTTTTGGGTTACATAAATATGACTAAATATCCAAATATTATTAGCAAAATCTCCCTAAACGCCAGAGACTGTACTTTAGGAATTATTTTTACTCTCATCTATGCTTAAGATTAGCTCTTACTTACCATCCGTTGAGATTGAAAATAAATGTTTGCTAGATTTTGCGTAATAAACTGACTTCACTTCCAATACGTACCAATAGAAATTTTTTTCCTTCCATTAACATCACAAAAACTAATAAGAATACTGTTGATTATGGTAAACAAATGATGATGTCATTTAATCAACGACGCGAATTCATCGATATATGACATTTGTAAAATCTTTTCTCTTCGGTCGTTTCGACATAGAGCTTCTGTCTGAATCATCCTTGAATGTACCATTCAAATGCACCTGCAGTGCTATTGTTTGTGACTAGCGCAATGGAAAATGCCATTCTAACAAATCATGCCATATCATTTTACTCACAAATTAGAAGGCATGACTTGGAATGCTATAAAATTCAAAAGCTACGTATCACCGAAGTTTTAAGCGTTTGCTTATGGTATAGTTCGGCAATTGCAAATATTGTATATGATCAAGAGAAAATGCTGATTAATATATGTTGAGTACACATGTGTGTCTGAAATTGAAAACAGACTGATGGCAGATTCCGGAAATTGTTTGCTCGCGAAAACGTACCTAGCAATTGGAGACGATACATGAGCTCATTATACAGACATATGTAAACAACTACCTACCAATGAAATATTGTGCTCTTAAAGTTTGATTTTGTTTTTATGAAGACATCATAGTTATATGCTATAACAGAATTTTAGAGGCATTCGGGGCCTTTTTGATAATTTTTTTTTCTGAAAAACATTTTTTTATTATTTATTTGAACTAAGAAAGTCTTACTTTAAGGGTTAAAAAACCAAAAAGTAGTACTTGGCCTATATTAAATTAAAAGCTTAAAGTTGTTTTAAGCTTATTAGTATTTACTAGCAAATTCTTTACTTTTACTTATGAAAATTATGAAATCCGAAGTTGTAATATCTATGCTGTATATAGTAAGGTTTACCTTTAATTATTGTTTTTTTATATGAGAAGGTGGCAAGCGAGTTTTTTTTTCGACCTTGGTTCAACGGCGGAGACTGTTGCAAAGCCCTACTCCCACTGTACTCTCAGAATTTTCTGCCCTTTGGGCGCAATGCTTTAGCAGATTTTAATCATCATATCTTCAAATTAGTATAAATGAAATGTTATTGTCATGACTGCCAGAATTATACTAAAAATATTGTCAGCTGCTAGTTGTACTGTGGTAGGGCACGCAGCACGTTGTGCTGTTGTACGAATAGACAGGATCATCCGGGGAAGTATCACGGCTTTAAAGAAGGCCGGCGTGAAGTTTAAGTACTAAACTTTCGTGTTTCGTCTGGTGAGTGGGGTAACCGCAGCTCACTTTTTTCAAGTTGGCAACATATCTGCAACGCACCAGGTATTCCATGGGTGGGCAGTATTCAGTTAACGTCAGATGAACTGATTGATCGCCTGCCAACTTTTTCATTAAAAAAAAAAAGGAAGACCTTCAATTTCAATAAGAAATTAAACTCAAAAAGTGAAAGTTGGTAGAAACTGAGGCTAGGTCAGTTACTTAGGAATTTTTAATGTCTGGTGAATACTCTTATTTCTGATAGAAAAAAAATTAAAGCTTTTTATTTGAAAGTATTAACAGACAATTTATTGAAATTATATTAATTATTTTATTACAGTTCTCTTTTTACTATTACTCTTTAAACTACAAATAAAGCATGAGTGATGCTCTTAAAAGTTTAGTGTATAATTGTAACAAAATAATGCGATGTTTTTTGTTGTTTCTTTAACTTTTTATACAAAGTATTTTTAATTTGAATTATATGGAGGCTACACAATTATTTAACAATCAAGAAATATCTTAAAATATTTTATGCTACATACTTTTGTGTAATAATGTAGTAATCAACGTAAGTTAATCGTCAACTGCGATTCGAATACACTTTATTGATTTATGTAATAAGTTAAAAATTTAAGATCTTCACCGTCGTGCACTCAGGACTCCCTTCAACAGATTTAACTAAGATAGAGCGTACCTATTACTTTATATACGGCAAACGTTTCAGAACATAATATATTCCAGACACGAAAAGACTCGGTCGTTAGTGAGTCACTTGAATATCTTTACTGACGTGCTTTCAGCGTATTTCTCTGATGCAACTGATGTTTTATTCGTTTTAATCTATATTAGTGAGTGTTTAACTTTTTACACATCCTTATTATTGTATAATAATAAATGAATGGTATTATCAATAAATGAATAGTATGTAACCGCGGTAGGCCCACAATACAGTCACCACTTTTGCACAAATGGGCAGGTCTGTCCATCCTCACAGGAGACCGGTGTGAAGTGGAAGGAAAACTTCTGCGTTTCGTCTGGTAAGTGAGGT